AATAAAACCGAAGAACTTACCTGTGACATAACCTGCCGTTATTCAAACGATGTTACTGAAGATAAGTCCAACTACATTAGGTTAGAGTTCCTTGAAAATCGCACAGGTGAAATCATCGAAGCGAAAAACCACATCGTCCAAGTAACTCTCACACAATGTCAGAAAGAGACCAACTCCCAAAACTTTATATGAAAAAGTCTAATAAGTACAATCTGTAAATATGTAACGTTGCACTGGAAAAAAACTCTTAACGAACAAACCACTGGGAAACCTCACAGAAGTTAACAATATCATATACGCAACAACTTTAGCAGCTACTGGGAAGCTTGGAGTCAAGACAATGAATAGATCAAACAACAGACAAATAGAGTCAGCATGGAAGGAGAAGGGAGTACGTCTGCTACTGTATACCGAGCTGGATTAAAAAAAAAAACAGAATATCAGTCATAAACACCTTGGTTGACCCTGTGGTACAATACGGTTTCAACATACTTAACTGGACTATAGCTAACATTAAGCGAATTGTCGCCAAAACGAGAAAGCTTCTCACCTTGCATCATCCCAAAGCTGATGTTGATCGTCTGTATGTGCCCAGATCCGAAGGAGTCAAAAAATTAGTTCAACTAGAACTATCTTATAAAACTACAACAATTGGCCTTCAAAGATACCTAGAAACTACAGACGACTGGATGATGATCCGTGTCAAAGAAAATGAAAGTAGCAAGCGACTTTATTCAGTAATAAAGGAAACCAAGTGGTTGATGAAATACAAAATACAACGACTGAAGCTTCAAAATACTTAACAATGAAAGCAAAGGCAAATACAACCCACCAGATACAGAAACTATAGCAAAATAAACCGCTTCACGGTCAATATTCTGCACGTATCAAACAAACTGATGTAAACAAACCCCGTATACAACAGTGGCTTCGTAGGGCATGTTTAAAAGCTGAAACCGAATGTTTTATTCTTGCTGCACAGGACCAATGCTTGATAACTAGAAATTACAGAGCACACATACTGAAAAAAATGTGTCAGTCCAACATGCAGATTCTGTAATAAATATCCAGAAACCATTGACCATCTTATACCAGGTTGAGCGTTATCGGCACCCACTGAATATAAAACATGGCACGATAGAGTGGACCAATATCTGCACTGGAAAATCTGCAGCATTTAAGGAAAAGAATGCAAGGAATTGGTATAAACACCACGAAGACTTGGTTAGGGAGATAGGACCTGTTACAAAGCTAATCTCCGTGACATCGTGATTAGAGACAGAAAATATAAAAACCGACTCTTTATTGATATGAGAGTCTATACAGACTGTAATGTATCTTTGAAGATCTAAAAAAAAATATCAAAATACAAGGACCTTGAAATCAAACTCTTAAAAATGTGGTGCATGAGGACATTAACAATTCCAGCTGTAGTTGGAGCCCTCGGATTGATTGGAAAAGATTCTAAAATAGACTCATTAAAGGAGTCCCTTGTAGACCATGCCTTAAAGCGATACAAAAACTTGTACTCAAAAGTACGGTCTACATCTTACGAAGGGCTTCATTTATGTAAAATGTGCGATTTTTTTTTCAAAACTGCTCAGTGAACAATGTCATGTTGCCATTTCAGACCTTTGGTGTCTGGTTGGGACCGGGAAAGAAATAAGTAAATACCAGAAACGAAAGAAAATAATAATAATAATAATAATGATAATAATAATAATAATAATAATAATAATTTAGACTAATATACAGAAACATATAAATAAAATAATAAGCTAAAACTTAAAGGACAACATCATTAAATTAAGTAAAATGATGCTGAGCGTGTCAACTACATATTCGACCAGTTGTACTAATTATTGCGATCAGTTAATTTGCAATCACTTGGGGTTTTAGGTTGAAACTTGGAGGCAGTAAAATAAGCAATGAATCTCACAATAATAATAATAATTGTTTGCCCGTTCGTGTGTATGAAATCCATCTAACTGGAGTCATACTTGCTCTACATAGATATATTATAGTATTTTGGAATTAGGATGATCCCAGGATTGAAAATCTGCACTTCATTTTGTGCTTGAACATCCGGAATTTGTGTATAAGGAACATTTAAAAATAAAACATTTAAAACAACTGAAAAAAATAGTGATTTTAAAAGTTTTAATTTATATTGAGTTTAAAGTAATAAAAACTTTTCTGTATTATGTTTTTGTTTTAAATTCAGTTAAAAATTATCCCCAAAACTTTGTGAATTGAGGAAACGACTTTTATTTTTTCAAAATGCTAAGGAATCAGAATTAAAGTCATAGGTTTCGTGGCGTGATTTTTTGAAGTTCCGCAGAGTTTGTGATTTAAAGAACTCAATTTTCGGCCTGATTTAAAATTTCGCCCCAAAACAGAATTGCAACCCAGTCATAGTCAAATCTCTCTCATAGTCGGAATCAGATTTACTGCGATATATATAAGGAGCTAGCTGAAAAGTTTGCACAGAGGGCAACTTTTAAGCTAGCAATAAATAAATAAATAAATAGAGTAGATGACAAAGAAGAATATCAGAAAACTATAATAAATTAAAATATGATGTGTAAAAATTGGGGCCAAATCACACAGTGTAAGTCATCAGTCTGTTATTCAATGAACTTCCGAATAGGCTGGTGATGGTTCAGGTCAATATTAAGACTGGAAACATGATAACTGCACTCCTTAGGACTGAGCGCATATTTGGAAGTGTTGTCGATTCCTGATGAAAATTTCCCACCTCAGTTCACTGGTTATGGATATATGGTAATTTGGCATCATCTGCAGAAATAAACGCTTCGTTTGCAGATCAAGCGTCAACATTAATAATTAATAAACTAAATTTTCACTTATCTCCAATTGGAAACTCGCAGGTTATGAAATCAGATCATCAGGGGACAAAATTATTTTTCTGTATCATATATCTTTTTAAAAATAGGGTAAGGTATGAGATGATTTGATTTTTTTTTTCTTAAAGACACTATTTTATGACATAAGCTCATTTTGTCTGTCTATATCTGTGAGATGCGGTATTATGATTATTTACATCATTTATATTATTTCGGACAGTTATCCTCATCTTTATTGTCAAATTCCCAAAGTTTCGACTGTTATACGTTCCGGCTTTCGTCAGGGAGATGAAAATTTGGAAACGAACCCTTAATTTTGTCTACCGAAATAATTATTCTAGTTCAATGAAATATTTGTTCTAGTTCCACGTGCCATGCCTCTTCCGAATGTCTCAGTTATTTCCCTTGAACTCAACTCTCCAAGAATTTTGGTTCATCAGCGCTGTAGCCTGTTATTTGCGTCTAGTCACTGGATGTAATCAACTCTTTTATACACTGGGCCATGACTTAAGCGAGTTTTATGGCCTAACATACGTGCTGATTCGTTAAATTTTCGTATTTTCCAGTGATTGTCTCTGTTTATCACGTGGAACTAGAATTATCTCCCCCAGTGGACGAAATAAAGGGTTCAGTTCGAAATTCAAATCACCTGAAGAAGGCCGGAGAGTACAACGGCCGAAACGCTGTGAATATGGCAATGAAGATGAGGATAACTGTACGAATAATGTAAATAAGCTTATTTAAAACTCATTGCGAATTATTTATATTTTGTATAAAGTACTTTACATGCTCTTCTAAATAAATTGTTAATCAAGAGTTAAGATTTTGCTATTTACAATGTATTAGATATCAGACATAATATTGATATTCAGTACGAACATATTTAGCGTATATCGTATTTAAAAAGATACCTTCGCTTTACAACAATTAACGGAGATAAATACTGTTGTCAAATCTACGTTGTTCCATATATATATATATATATATATATATATATATGAACATATAGAAAATAGAAAAGAACTCGTTAGGTAAATAATCCAAAGTTCTTTAGTAGTTTTGTTATTATTTAAAAAAAATGTGCTCGATACAAAAGTAGAGCCTAAATATAATTATTTATTTAAAAATATGATTCCATCGCTACATAAGAGTTCTCATGTTTCGAAACAAGAGCCGAAAACTTCAATATAATTATTTAAATTAAAAATACAATTTAATTCAAATAATTATATTGAAGTTTTCGGCTCTTGTTTTGAAACATGAGAACTCTTATGTAGCGATGGAATCATATTTTTTTAATAAATAATTACATATATATATATATGTGTGTGTGTGTGTGTGTGTGTGTGTGTGTGTGTGTGTGTGTGTGTGTGTGTGTGCTCTAACCTAGGGAAGGTTACTGAATAGAATAATCGAACTAAGGTTGCTAATGTATTGTGGCCTGTTTGGGGCCAAAAAAAAAAAAAAAACAAAACACGGAAGACGAAGGTAGGTTGAAAAAGTATATTGAAGTTGTATATAAAACAATAGTGTTAGTAATAAGAAGATTAGCACTACGTCTACTAATCCACTCCACTCTCCGACTCTCGAGGTTTGTATCTATGAGATGAGGAAGAGTTCATTATACTGTAGGAGGGTTTACCACAACATAATGAACGATGATTCTTAGAACAAGAACAACACATATAAGATTTGCCAGCGGGGAGTAGAAGAAGTAGTCAACAGTTAGAAGTAAGTCGAGTGAATTCCACAATGAATCACCAACTCTAGGATATCTAACAATCGCCCCACACGGTAAGATGTGGCACAAAGCCGAATTCACCGTGGGGTATCCTCGCCTGTAGGCTCGGCAAAATATTCCCCGTAGACCCCGTATATAGCCTCGTCTGGGGATCCTATATGTCCGGAGGCAGAGAGTTCGATCACCACAGCTGGAGATGAATCTCCAAAGATAGCCCACATACAGTATTCACTAGACCATTATGGGAATGATGGCATACATATTATCGTCCGTAGGTATGCTGTAACATTATATATATATATATATATATATATATATATATATATATATATATATATATATAACTGAAAACTGTATAAGTGGACACAAATGTTAACTCTAATCCTCGATAGTCTTTTTCAACGTAATATTCGCCGCTTGGGGATAACCGCAGTGATAACTTTTATATTTCTCGCTGTCTCTTTCAAAATTTTTCTCTCTCTCTTGGTCTATACCTCTCTCTCTCTCTCTCTCTCTCTCTCTCTCTCTCTATCTATCTATCTATCTATCTATCTATATATGTGTGTGTGTGTGCATGTGTGTGTGTGTGTGTGTGTGTGTGTATCCATCATATATATATATATTCATCGAGTCTGAAAGGAACAGCGCTATATTGAGTCTGATTTGCAATCTCTTCATCACCGAGGCCGTTGGAACAGTTGATATGATGTTTGCTCGGTAGTGGATGAGCACTACTGATGAGTCCCAAATATAGGACGAAACGGTCGTCCAGTGCCTTCTGCATTCTCTTGAGGTTTCTTTCAGACTCGATGAATTACTTAAATATAATTATCAAATCCTCCTAATAATTTATATATATATATATGCATCTATCATATATATTTGAACGAGAGCAGATGTTGTTTTCGCGTATTTTACCTATTTTTTTCTTTGCTCGATCTAATATCATCTAATAACTATTGAATATTCACTATGGTGAGATATGTCAATACGTTCACTACCCAAAATTTGATGTGCTGCCTTGTGGGTATTTAAGTCACCATTATATCCAAATTTTTAAATGTTCAATTGTGAAACAAGCCATTTATATATATATATATATATATATATATATATATATATATATATATCGCATTAGGTCTCTGTATTTGGCCCTTCAAAAGTATAATTTCTACCAAAACCTTCAACAATCAAATCACATGGTGGTGTCCTGTCGGTTTCCAGATCGATCTTTTGTTTCTCATACGTCGAAAATGAGAATATATATGTATATATTCCACAGACAAACTGTTTCGTTGTATCAAAGTAATCAGTATGACTAGACATCCGATCGCTGATTTGTTAACAGTTGGCGCACGGAAGGTGAATTTTAGAGTATTTATTTTTAAACAAACACACCAGTGACCGAGTGGACTTAATTAAATAGAAGAGTCTTGCATTAGCAGTAATAGTAGTCACTGTTTACAAATTCGCGCTTTCTCACCATAGTGCTCAACGGTAAATAATTTTCAGGAGCATATATTGTCATCTACAGACAGACTGTTTCGCTGTATCACAGTTAATCAGTGTGGCTATACATTGGGTTGCTTCAAGACGGCATCGAAACATGGCTGATTTTGCGTCAGTCGGAGAATCTACACCTAAGCTATCGGTGTACGGCAAAGAGGAAGATGCCATTTAGCGTATTTATTTTTAAACAAATACACCAGTGACTGAGAGTACTCAATTCAATAGAAGAGTATATATATATATATATATATATATATATATATATATATATATATATATATGAAATCTGTTCCCGCCACTCTCTCTCTCTCAAACTGTGTGTATATCCATGTAGAAAGCATACACACCATACTGACATATAAAGTGATATTATCATATTATGCGAAAGAGGAAATGATGCAAATGATATCCGAATTGAAATTCTAGTTAAGGAATTCTTAGCGTCTTGTCAGCCGCTTTCGTCTCAGTAAATGACAATTACGCCTAATCAATTTTGAATCATTCGTTCATTTTTCCAACCATGCTTTCAACTTGTTGAAAAAAATGTTTTACTACTTTCCTCTTTCTTTCCTTCCTTTACTTTTTTGTTGCGAAAATAAACAAAACTGAAGACCTGTGAGGACGGTTCATTAAATTGATTGATATCATTATTTTTAAGTATTTAACATTTTCTTTAAATCGAGAAGGCCATCTACACTAGTGAATTACCGACGATAGCTTTTTAAAGAGCGCTTCCATGTTTTCTGTAATTTTTGCTTTATATTTTCTCGTAGAATATTTGTCATTTTATTGTGGCGTTTGGGGACCAATGCTGTGAGAAGAAGGCAGGGAATTTCCCTTGAAAGAGCCTTTGGCAATATTCCATAGAGACTTGTCAGATTCATTTTAAACTAAGCAGCATCACACGTTTTTAGCAGTTGAATATTTCATTGCATTAACAACATCATTTCGAAGATGAATACCTTACCTATCTATCTATCTATCTATCTATCTATCTATCTATCTATCTATCTATCTATCTATCTATCTATCTATCTCATTCAACGAATCTTTCTATATATCTCATTCTGCCTCATCAATTTAAGTTCATATATTCTTCGCTTGCTTGTTATATTTATAAGTTGGAATTTATTTCTCGATATATATATCTTATACATTTCATATATAGCTTGCTAACTCAATACCTAGTTTAGTTCGCTTTTATTTACGTTTCTAAAATATGACTCTATGATAGACAGAAGATAAAAATAAATGTAACGATATCTTAAGATAAGGACAAAGCCAAATTGTTGCATCTTATGTAATACATAACATTATAGACAGGATACAGTAATAGAAATGGTAAAAGTAGTCGTTTACATGGAGAAAATATTCAGCATCCATTGTTTGAACAGAAAATATTTCTCTAGGTTGAAATTTATAAGAAAATTTCGAAAATGTCTTACAGCCCTATCATGTTGAATCATCGGTTCTCATATGATCAACGAAGTTAAACAACTTTGAGCCTATTCAGTAGCTGGATGGATGACCGTTTAGAAATACTATCTGTTGTGCACCTTGTGTAATGGATAATGCCTCGGAAGTGTAAATTGGAAGGCTGAGTTCCGATTCTCGTCAGGTTCGTCATATTAATTTACGCGCAAATTATGTTAGGTAAATTATGAATCCACCTCATCCCTCCCCAGCTATGGCTTAATTAGTAGGACTTGTATCAGTAAATCATTATTACAAAAAATCTTCTTTAAATCTGAAATCTTTTCTGACATTAAATAACATACAAACGTTGATAAGCCTTAAAATATCAATCAAACCAGGAAATTAGACTGATCTTTGGTTTCGCTTATATTTTTATTGATGGGAGTTTATATAATCTTTAGTATAGACTGGAAAACCTCTTGACTTTCTCAATGGTTTCTTTAGCAATTCAATGCATTAACAATTTTAGTTGTTGCTAATGATGGACGTCTTCGAGAGATATACTGTTTGTTATTTAGTAAAAATTATTCTTTGAGAATTTGTAACGCCGGTACATTATGTCTGCGAATAGACTCATAGATTTTAAGCATTGTTCTTAGAAAACGGCAGATGCTATTTTCCCCATTTTTGACCGAGTTGAAATGTCTAGACATGACGATGTAAAGACTCGTATTTTAAGGTCAAAAACTTTCGTTTTGACGCTACGTACACTGCTATATAATATTGCCACTTGGTTGATTGTCATTGAGATTATTTAAGGAAAGCGAATTAATCATATTCAAAGGAAATTTCAAAACGTAGAGGAATTAAAACATATATTCTTTATATCTCTATCTATAAAAGGCAGGGTGTGTGTGTGTGTGTATGTGTGTGTGTGCGTGTGCGTGTGTGTGTGTGTAACGAATGCACGGCTGCAATTTTCGACGGATTTGCACCAAAATTTACATGTACATACTCCAAGTTAGTAGGAAGGCCAAGACCGACACTACATTTTCCAACTCCCATCGATAGTAGAAATTATCGATTTTTTTTCATGCTTCTACGGCACTTTCATGTAGTTTACGGCCATTTTGTACTGGCCAGAGTGAGAGCCTATAGCTGGCTGCCACGAATAGGCAGGAAGATTCTATTGGCTAGCGTGAGAGCCAACATCTGACTGACACGAATGTTAACTAGCATGCAAAAACTCAATAGCTGCATTCGTCACAAGTGGGAAAATTTTAAATCTGCATGGCACTTTACTCCAACTGGCTCATTCGCTTGCTTACACTCAACGTTGATTCTGATTCCACAGAACTGCGTTAGGTGTGAAAAAGTATTTGTTGTTAACATTCTTATTTCATTGGGTTTTTCCAGTTACGAGTCCTTTTTTAAATCTGATCGTTTTGTGTTCATTTTGTTTAGTTCTTTTTTCTTAACAGATTTAATGTTTAGTATAGAGCTTACAAAAAATTCGCAGTGTGAGATAGGCAAGAAGTAAGGCATGTAGCAAAATCAGTACGGCAAAGGGCACTCCTTTAAAGGCAAGGAAGGACAAAAATATTTTATTCAAGTGATAGCGATTGCTGTATGAGTGGTACGATTTTTGAATCAGGCACGGGCAACGCCAGGCCATGCTGCTAGTAAAATATAACAAGACGAAAATAATATACATTTGTTAACACAGCTAAATTGGAAAAACAAAATGAATATATCTTAGTAAACTTGATATATTTAAGAAGGACATTAGAATAATTCAAAACTTAAAACGAAAACACAAGCCTGAATTGGAATGGAAAATTAATTCAGTAAATGCAAAAAATAGAAAAGGGCTTGAGACAAGGATGTGTCTTCTCACTGGAAATATTTAGCCTTAAAAGTAAAGTATTCCTGAGAGAACTAGAAATTTATGTTAACTCATTACTACACATGTTAAATGTTGGAGACAGACAAGCCACAAATATACACGAATGTCAAATGTAAACTAATCTTGATGACAACACAACGTCATCGACCTGAAACTTTCTTTAAAATTAATAAATAAAAACGAAGGACATACGGACATATATTTAATTGGACATTTGTCCTTTTTTGATTAGAAGAACCCTCTCCCTATATTTGTAAAATTATTTTTGATACACCCTATATATATATATATATATATATATATATATATATATATATATATATATATATATATAAGCATGCAACTACATCAAATAATGAAGATAGATTAATAGGTAGATTAAATGTTATTTACATGTTATTCAAGGGTGGTTCAAAATACAATTTAAATTTGGCGCCATGTGAATTGAAATAAAAATTTATTTCAAATGAAAAGCATGACAGATGCCTGAATGCGATTCAAATGGGATTCAAAATTCGATATAAATTCGGCCAAATTTGAAAGAATTATGTACTGTACTGTACTTAAATGAAATGTAATTCAGATCAAAAGTCTTAAAGCGACTTGCTTAAAGAAATTAGATTATTGTTAATGATTTTTTTATTAAAATTCAGAATTAAAGTAAAACGTATTCATTTAGATATTTAATCACTTTATTCTCGTTAGTTTAGACAATGTCCTCTTTAACTGTGTGATAATTATTGTAACATAAAATTAAAATATTGCCCAATGTTTTGTCTCTTTCTCTTTCTCTTAATATATATATATATATATATATATATATGTATACAAGACAGACTTGCGTACGGAGGGGTTGAGGCCTCACACTTATACCAACAACCACACGAATATACACACTTACACACATCATACGCACTCACTCCCTCATGAGCCAAATGATAACACACACCCACAACAACACACACGCTTACACATATCATACTCACTCACTCCCTAAGAACCAAATAACGCACACACAAACACTAAACAGACACATCCCCGCTCCAGGACCAATAAAACTGTCAAACTGAGCACGGGAATTCAGAGGAGCATAGATCCATCCAGCTCTTATCTCAAATAACAACATAAAAGAGACTGTTTGACCAACACAAGGAATGTTAAAAGATTCATGTCAAAAAGATAAAAAACAACAACAAAAAAACAAACAAACAAACAAATGAAAACGACAGACAAAAGTTCATTTTCTCCATCAAGACATTCATTTCTGTAGTTTACTGCTACCAGCAAGCAGAAAGATTTCTTCTCCTGATGATGGCCATTTTGACCGAAACTAGTCGAGGAATCTAAATGAAATAATAATAAAAAAAACGAAAGAATATTAATCTACAACCCAGTGTGTCTGAAGATTTTAATTTTTTAATATTTTTTTTATTGTTCAATATATATATATATATATATATATATATATATATATATATATATATATATATATATATATATTCACACTCCTCTAAGGTATTTTAAACAGGTGTAGAGGCTTATCGCTTGTTTCCTCTTTAGGTTTCCTTCTAAAGTACTTAGATTTTTTCCCTCTCGCTAGCACCTCTTTTTTTAATGTTGTTATCATCTTTCATTATATATATATATATATATATATATATATATATATATATATATATATATATATATATATATATATATATATAGAGAAAGTGTATCTCGGTCCAGACCTTCGGATGTTGACAGCTGTGAACAATAATAGGGAAGTTGATTTTGATTGGCTACGAGAGCGTGGGTATAAAGTAGGAGAAAGTTTTATGTGATTCGTTTTTTACCCATCAAGCGATGTACACTTGTTCTTTTTCGTGTCTGGATGATTAATGAATATCGTGAATATGTAATAAGTTTATTCATATTTATCCAAGGTGAATTGTTCCTGAAATATAAAACAGTTGCTTCTTATTTACTGAGCACCCTGCCCGGTATAAACTGCAACCAGTGAGTTAAATCATGTTAACGGAAACAGGTCCAGTGAAGAGCTCATAAACACTGTCAAAACGAGAAAGTTAAAAAGGTAGAGACTCTTACTAATAGTCAACAATATTACGATACCATCCTCTAATATATACTTACGGTTATTTTTTTACTGGTATTGATGAAAGTATCACCGTATTGAAATTTAAATACAACGTCGATCGACTTCTGACTTCCTGAGTCCTGTTCCTTCATTGTCCTTTCCACGGGTCAGCTCATTTTTTTATTGCCTGTAACGTTCTAGTGGTGAGAAAGATTAAGAAAATATGTGTCTGATTGCTTGATTGATTGATTTTTACGACTTATCAACCAAGCTTTTGTGGGTAATTTAAAGCCAGAAAATATTTTTAATCTGAAGAAGTTTTTGAGGATAATCATGATTTACTTAAACGAGTCTTAATATGTAACCATAGCTAGAGAAAGGTTAATCTATAACCTTCGCTACATATATACACTGACATGCATATATCCAACAACATATGCATATAACAATATATTTCCTTCTATCAGCACACTACCTATATTCTTCATATATATATATATATATATATATATATATATATATATATATATATATATATATATATATGTAAAGCAACGAAGAATAAAATTCAAACTTTCAAAACATTTACTTAAAACAGGACTCAATACAAACGTAGACCAATAAATATTTATTATACACTGTTACATAAGAACATGGAAATTATTGCTACAAAATGATAAATTTTGTTTCGACGTTTAATAAAAATCAGGTTGTTAACAATGATGTTAATAAACGATTTTGTTTAAAATTACAAATTATGAAACATCATTTCATTTTCCGTTTTTGGAAAATTT